GGGGGGGGGGTGGTACATGCCCGTAATCCAGCACTTGGGAGGCTGAGGCAAGAGGAGAGGCTGAGGCAGGAGAATCACTAGGAATTTGAGGTCAGCCTGAACTACAAAGTGAGACTCTGTCTTAAAATAAATCAGGAAAAAAAAAAAAGACCTACCACTGAATTTGTCCTCAATATTATAAAGAAAAAGTCAAAATACAACCTAAAGTCTGTGAGAAAAATATGTGGAAATCATACATTTGAGAGACCGGAAACCCGAACATAGAAATAAGTCTTACAACTCCTGTCTAAACTGATGGAAACCTGAAGGACTTTAAACATAAAGCTAGGAACCACCTCAGGACACCAGGGAAATTTTGAAGATGCAAAGGGTAGGAGGTTAAGGAGTTAGGTCAACGGAAGAACAGAAATTTCTGCAAACTCTGGGTTGTGACAATTAAGACTATCAAGCTCTCAATCCAAAGAAACAGAAAAATCACAGCAGCAGAAGCAGGGTGCTCTAGGAGGAGGAGGCGGCTGATCAAAGCTGCCAACCAGTTACCTCCGTTTTCCCCCTTTTCCATTCCCTTAAGCGCATCAAGGAAGGTTCAACCACACATACAGACTGGTCCTCCTTCACCTGGAGCATCAATATTTTGCTATACATCTGGCAATCAACCAAAAACACAGACCCTAAATAGTACAAACACTGGACTTAGCAAGAATGAACTTAAATAAGGATGATCCATCCCTATGTTCAAATCAATAGAGGAAAAGGTTTTAGATTTAAAAAAAAGCATCTCTTGTCAGCAGAGATTTAGAATCTACTTAAAAATAATCAATCTATACTTCACTGAAAATAACTGAAATTTACAACTCAATGATTAGGTTTAACATCAGAACACTTAAATAGTGCCACTGAAAATAAGGTAACATAAAGAACTCAAACTACGGCAAACAGAGGGGAGAAAAAAAAAGAATGAAAAAGAAAACAAGAAGCCAGCATGAAAGATAAAAGTCACATTTGGAATCACAGGAGAGGACAGAAAATGATAATGGAAGGGTAATATATTCTAAAATAGAGAAACCACATCAGTTGGGAGCTTGACTTCAAAGAGGGGAAAAAAAAAATCCCAGGTAAAACCACACTAAGGTACAACATGGAGTAATAAAACATAAGGACTACAGGAGTGAGGAAGAATACTATCAATGACAGTATTCTGAAAGAAAATTAACTTCCTATATTTCATTTTAGTCCCAGTAAAATACCTTCCCCAAAATAAAGGTAAAGTCAAGACCTTTTGAGAGAAACAAAATCTTGACGAGTTTGCCCCATCAAGTGCTCCTCTTAATAGAGCTGTTTCTCTTCAAGTGGCAGAAGCCACTGTCCGCAACATGGAAAGCACTCTAAAGCGAATTCCCAGCTAAGCAGGGAAAATCCTATTTTACACGATTAAGTTCCAATGGAATGGAGAAAAGAACTGAGTAGCACAGGGCAGGGAAAAGTGATCTAAGTTTCTTGCATAATTTAGATAATAAAAATAATTTGGGTTACGGTGTAATAATTTAAGAATGCATTAGGAAGAACACTGAAAGAATAATAAAATTATCTAATAAGATCACAAAAGAAAAGAGTAAAATGTGCTAGGGCTTGCAGCATATGCAGCTCAAATGGCAGAGTGTATGTAGGAAGCCGCTGGGTTCTATCCTCACACCAAAAATGAACGACAAAACTTGATTAACGAAGATACAACTACTGAAGGCACAAGGGAATGGACAAAAGTACACAGCACTGTTCTGTACTATTTTTTCAACTCATATAAATCATTACTTCAAAACAAAACGTATACCAAAATTTTTTAAATCGTCTATCAAATGCCACACAACTACCATGGAGTAGGTAAAAGGGAGCATCCTGGTTTGAAGACTAAGGTGAAAAGCAGAAGGGGTTTAATAATTGGCTGTCCACATACCTTCGTTTACTACCTCATATACTAAGGGATTTGATTCTGCACAGTAAAGGGAACCAATTTTAGCTAGGTTTGAAAGGGTCTTTGTTTTATACGTGCTCTCCTGGTCTCTCTTTATACCACACACTTCTTGGCAGCATAGCACAGAGGTTCACAGGTAGGCCAACTGAGAACCACCTGAGGCCAGACTGCTCAGCAGGTGGAAAGCCATATCCGGTCTGGAAAGCAAGCTGGTGTCTGTCTTCTCACCTACGGAAGGGGAGAAACGGTCCCCACCCCCAGGCAGTGGCGAGGACAATCCCCCCCCCCCCATGAGCCCCTGCATACAGCAGGTGCCCAGAGACTGCAAGCCACAGCCTTGGACCTACTGCCCTCGGAGCCGTGCTGCTAGCAGACTGCTCTGAGGCACTAGGTACCCCCGACTCAGCAGTGCACTCCCTCTGTTGGTTCCAGCTCCACGGTCCTCACACCTCCAGCACAGGGCATCTACTTCCCCCATGCCCCCCTCCACTGCCAGGCCCAGGAAAAAGGATGGCAAGAGGTAGGGAGTAGAAATGACACAAGAGGAGGCAGCCTGATGCAGAGCCTAGCGTTCACCAGTGCCCAATGCTAGAAAAGTCCCTGGTAGTGCTAAGAATGAAGTGCTAAAGGCAGCGCTTCAGAGAGGAGGACAAGATGGCCAGCAGGCTGAAGAAGGAAACGAGTGAGAAATTCAAGAAAAGACAAAACACAGCAAAACTGAATCTCTAAACTGTAGGGCCTGGGGGTGGGACTGTGGCCCAGAGGTAGAGCATCAACTATAGGGCAGTTTGTGTATGGTAATGATTTGTCTGCCCAGTGGGTATCACTGCTCTGAAGTTTCTGGAATGTCTCCCTACTTATCAACTGTGCACTATGTCACCTCCATGTGTTCTCAACTTCTTTGCATCATCATTACTGCACTCAGAAATGCAGAACCTTCCAAATAGAGAAAATTTTAGGCCTAAACAGGAACTAAGAATGAATATATAGTGGTGGCTTCTGTCCCATGGAGAAAGTATATCTGAAACAGAAATCCCACAGCATTTTCAATTGTACCACTTGAACTAAAATGGAGAGAACATAAACTGAGAAAGAGAGGAACAAGTAGCAAATAGGCCAAGAAAGCTACTCAGCAGCAAAATCAGGAAAGGTAAGGAGATTCCAAAAAAAAATAGAAAGGGTAAAGTGCCAAGTAGAGAACAATTCTCAGAGAGTTTAAGTCCGGACCTGATCAAGGAACTAGGAATGTGTACCTGGCAAGATTTCAAAACTGCTATGAATCATGACTGTACTGTGCCTTGTATTTGAACCCTTAATGAATGGGACTGTGGTTACCCTTTCTGTGACTCATCATTGTCATGTAGTCCCCAGATCTGAAATCAGTGACCAACACTCAAGGTGCTGCCTGCCCTTCAATGTTCCTTATGAATAACCAAGGAACCTCATTTGGACCTCTACACTCTGCTTGACACAAAAGTCATCAGGGGCCTTTAGGACATTGTACTTTGCAAGCAGGAGAAAGGTACATAGTTTGTGATGAGGTGGGTTACAACAGCAAGCCTTCTGTCTAGGTGTGCTCCATGTCCCTTACCTGTTAAAAGTCGTGACTCAAATGTACAGTGGCAGTTTTCCCCACTCAAGAAGGAGGTTCAGACATAAAGGAGCAAGCTGCGGTACATTTCTGAGGGGTAAGAAAGTGTGTTCTGGCCTGGAGCTAATGCCCAGTTCCTAGTGAACCTAGTTTGTCACTTTAGGGTGTGTTGAAGGGCATGGGGAGATTTGTGAATGAATCTGAAGGAAATGTCTGGCTTAAGAAATGTGATCTCAGGTCGGGGATTTAGCTCAGTGGTTCTGCTGCCTGCCTTGCAAGCGCAAGGACCCAAGTTCGATCCAACATACCCCCCCCCCCAAAAGAAAAAGAAATGTGATCTCTGGGGCCAGGGACTCAGCTCAGTGGTGCCGCAGTGCTGCCGCCTGCCTGCCAAGTGCAAGGTCCCAAGTTTGATCCCCGCTACCACAAAAAAAAAAAAAAAAAAGAAAAGAAATGTTATCTCTGATTTCCTGGAAGAACAGACTCTTCCTGTTGAACAGAAGAGAAAATGTTCTATGGCTCAGTTTTATTTTTTTATATTTTTAATTGTTTTTGGTACCAGGAATCCAACTTGGGACCTTGCACTTGCAAGGCAGGTGCCAGAACCACTGACCTAAATCCCCAGCCCAAGAGAAGATGTTCTAGCTTCTAGGGCTTCTTTATTCCAGCGAGAGTTCTGGGCCCTCCTTCCCTCCAAGGCTCAATACCCCGAGGGGAGGCACCAGAGCACCTGGCAATCTTCCTCTCAGTGGGGCCACACACGGCTTACTGGGTGCAACGCAAAACCTAACATGCTCTTCAAGGGCCTCTCCTATGGCAAGGATGGAGAAGCAGAGAGAACATCACTTATCTGTGCAGGAGCAAGACCCAGAGCCTCTAATCAGCACTCCACTCCAGAGTGACAAACTTAATAGCAAATCTGTTTACACATACAGAATAAAATGAGTGAGAGAAACTTGGACTGGCTAGATAAGTTATGGCGATTACAGTAATCTAAGTGAATTCCTCACCCCTGATCACCATGTGACAGAAAGACGACTGCATGCCATGTTACGTGTCAGATCCAGCTGTCAATGGCACTCAGAAGCTCTCATGTGCAAAGCCACACAGCATGAGCATTACTTTCACAAATCACAGGGAAATATATCTTAAGAATCAAAATATAAACCTTCTGGTTATTAGAGCAGTTGATGAAAAGGGAGTGAAAATTCAGGTACCCGATCCCCAGCACATTGTCCGCTGGAAATTCTTCTAGGCTTTGTATGAGACAGCAAAGGGCCAGGCCAAATGGTTTCTATGCAATGAAGAAAGCAAACAACTGTTGTGAGATTGTCAGCAGTGCATAACAGATACACATCTGTGTGCCCAAAGCTGCAAGTATTAACTGTTACGGGCCCTAGAAAAATATGAAGAATTCATGAAATTTTAAAGTAGCCCACGAAGTTAGTTCCTTCTCAGGCAATACACAGTAAAGCCATAGCACAGTGCATCAAGGGTGGATATAACAGGAAGGAGGAGTAAAAGAACCAAACTCTAGGAAAGAAGAGTGTCCAAAGATTTTAGATGGGGATAAGAAGACCATGGATTCAGTTTAGCAGAATGGCAAGAACAAACCAGTTCAGGAAAGACAAAAAAAAGAAGACTAACAACTAATACTCAAAAGATGCTTCTAGTGGAGGAGAAAAACTAGACAAATGTGAGAGTCAAATAGGTCCTAAGTCACCACTCATTTAAAGCAAGAGAACTTGTAGGGGGATGTTAGGGAAAAAAGAATACTTTCAGTTAAACTAGGAAAAAACAAAACAAAACAAAACACAAAAAACCAGGCCAGAAGATCCTTAATACTAGAAAGTATGAACATGTAGGACCAAGAGCTACTTTAATACCAAGAGTACTGAGCGTCCAGCCTGAGCATTACTGGGGCCTGGAAATGCCCTGGCCCAGACTGCACAGATTCAGGCCAGACGGGTGGGTCTGGGGGCAGCAATCTTCTGGTTGGAACCGGTTCATCTGTGGGTCTGTTATGAATCACACTGCACAGATTAAACACTGAGAAGCAGTTCACAGAGCTGAACGGTTTGAGGGAATTAAAGACCATGAAAGAACATCTTTACCAGTGGATCAAGAACAGCTGAAGATAAAATGATTAGGAATGTTCTAGAAACCGGTAACCTAAATTAGAAGGCAAGTACTGAGGTAGAATAGAGGATGGGTAATGAGACCTTTTAAAACATACTCATGTTTAGAATGCTTTAAAATGCTAAGTTAACACTAAGCAGGAAAGTAACATTTTCTTGTCCTCTTAAATATGGCGTGCAGCCGATACTTCGCTATAAATAGAAAAAAACCACCCTCAGAAAAGCTGGCAAATTCAAGAAGAAAAAGAGCTATTTTAGGTTCCCTCTCTTGTTTTAGTCTGCAATATCAGGATGAAGTATTTATACAAGGAAACAGATTTCTGTCTTAAAAATCATAAATATTTCAATCTGGTAGAAATTATTGGAACAACGGTTCAGGACAATTCTACAGGCAAATTAAAAGCAAAAAGACAATCAGTCCCTTAAAGGGACTTCAAAATCTGCCTTCCTCTATCTTAGTGGTCTTCAGTAATCTAAACAACACAATGAATGGAATGAATAGTCACCCTTTAGGACCGGATCTCCTCTTTCCTCCTCCTGTGCATTTCCTAACCTAGAAATGCCATTCAAGCAAGTGGTCAACTCCTATTGGGAGCAAAGCTCTTTATAGGGAATGTTCCCAATTAGCTAAAACAATATGACCATTCACGGCTGAGGAGAGCACTGGAAGGGGGCTGTCCGGCAAACCTTGGCTTTGGTAGCAGCTGAGGCAAGCGCAGCTGCCGCGGCAGTGGCAACGTTTCCTTCAGAAATCTCATGTTCTACTTTCTTCTTCGCGGTGTCATTTTCTCTTTCTTTACATGCATCAGTGAGTTCCTTGTTCTCTTCGGTCTCCTTTTCTTCTGGAAATACCAGAAAGCTTTATTACTAGTGTCCCTGGTCTCAGTAACTATCTCCCCTCTCACCTCTGCCATATGACAAATGAGGACTGACTTTACAAGGAGAATTCAACGCCCTATTTCCTTTTGTGAGTGTTGCTGAATCGTTCCATACATTTAAGTCTGCTTCTACTGGGGCTTTATTTTCTAAATGATACCTTTTGTCTCCCTTTCATTTCTCTAGGCTCTGTGTGTATTTCCCTGAGATATAAAAAGGGAAATTCAGAGAATAGAGCCCAAGACCCACATATTTGCTCCTTAGTAGAATGCTCTGGGAACCCTAGGGTCTAGAGTAAGTCAAGACACCAAGAACAAAGCATCCTGAGACAGGCTCGTGGCCTACACCAGGGCTGATACTGACAATAAAATGGCAGGTCGGGGGCGGTGGGGACTTCATGGTGGGGACCCGTTCATCTCCACATACTACTGAAAAGAGACAAAACATAGACCCCAGAATGAGCACTGGAACCAAGCTGCTAAGCGAGGATGAAATATTTCTACACGAAACAAAACAAAACAAAACAAAACAAAACGGGCTGGGGGTGTAGCTCAGTGCTCCTTAGGATCAAACCCAGTACCACAAAACCAAACCAGCCACAAGGAAACAATCGCGCATCCCTAGTCCGTTTTTTACAGTATTACATAAAAATGAAATTTAAGGCAGTTCCTGCAAGTTACCTGATTTGATATCTTCACTAACTTCACTATCCTGTTCTTTCTCACTATTTTTTTCATTTTCTCCATCTTGTGCTTTATCACCTTCATCCATTTCATTTTCTCCTTTGTTCTCCGCCTAAAAAGGGTACACCCCCCAAAAAAAGAATAGGAAGTGAACAAAAAAGTTATTTCAGGAGCTTAATTATATTGAACTAACAAAAGGTTTCACTTTTTGGCAAGAAGTGAAACAGCTGGGTGTGGTGGCAATGAGCCAGTAATCTGAGCACTTTGGGAGGCTGAGGCAGGAGGACTGAAAATTCAAGCCCAGCCTGGGCAATTCAGTGATTTGGGAAACCCTGGGGATGCAGCTCAGTACAGATAAAGTACTGGGCAGGTGGCTCAATACAAAGGCCCTGGGTTCAATCTCCAGCACCAAAAAACAAAAAAATCATCCTTCCAGGGCTGGGGATTTAACTCAGTGGTTCTGCCGCCTACCTCGAAAACACAAGGACCCGAGTTTGATCCCCAGTACCAAAAAAAAAAAAAAAAAAAGCAAAAAAAAGCAAAAAATCATCCTTCCACCCCAAAACTGGACTACAGTGCCAGGAGTGGTAGCACACGTCTATAATCCCAGCACTTCGGAGGCTGAGGCAGGAGGATCACAGTGAGGTCATGGTCAACCTGGACAACACAGTGAGTTGAAGGCCAGCCTGAATTGCATATTGACATCTTTTCTCAAAAAATAAAAATAAAAAATAAAGAAAAGAAAAAGAGGGTTAGATTTAGAAAGGTCCTGTGGAGAAGAACTGGCAGAGAAAGTAATAAATTCCGAGAAATATTTTTTGCCACCTCAACACTCCAGTGCTCACAAGATCATACACCTCCAGACCACATGGTCCCTGCTCAATTTGGGACCACAGGGTTAAGATGGCCAAGGAATGTCAGGGATTAGGTGGTACCATCTGGTACCATTTGCTGGTTTTGAAAAATGCCTATAAGCCTGGACAAATTATATATATGATGTATAAAAAGGGGAAAGTATCATTACTTTAAAAAGTAAATTAGGGCCAGGGATTTAGCTCAGTGGTGCTGCTGCCTGCCTTGCAAGCACAGGTCCAGAGTTCAATCCCTGGTACCCCCGCCCCTGCCCCAAAAATAAATGAAATCATAAATGTAAAGTGCAAGCATGGTATTTGGACACTGAAGAAATTGTAATCATTTTCTTATTTCCCTCCCTCATCCTCTCTTCATGTAATCAAGACCGTAAATGTCTGCCGGCATGTATTCACTCTAATAGTGACTGATGGCTCCTCACAGGTCCCGAAGATATGCACTTGCTCCCCGACCCAGCCCACCTCAAGTTTATGCCTTGTGCGAGGAGCAGGGACTGGGCCAGGGACACACTGGTACTCTAGGGGAGGATCACCCCGGCTTTAGGGTCTCCTCCCTCTGTAGATGAAGTCTTAGATTCCTTAGCCTCTATTTCAGTCTTTTAATAGTTCTATCTGTTCTTTAAAACCTACTGCAAATAGCGGCTTTTCATTATTTCTATTCTAAATATTCTGCTCCTGTCAGTTAACCCTTCTAAGGCAACCATTTAATAGTCTGTAATTCTCTTCTGACACAGGTACGTGCTCTAAACCCTACAAGTCCATATTCACAATAACCAAAACTTTTGTATTCATGTTCCCAACTGTGCCTGAAAAAGGTACAGAAGATAGGGTGGGATAAATCTTCAGCAAATAAATTAAAGGAAAATGTCCTATATCATGCTTTGTGAGAACTATGCCTTAAGCAACAAAACCCAAGCGGCTGATAAAACTATTTCTAGTCCTCTGAAAGGGACCCAGACACGCACAAAGCTCTAACCCATTACACTCAGAAGGCACACACATGCCCTATGGCTTTCCTGCTGTGAGGCAACTCATGACTTTTACCTTTTCAGGCTGCTGATCATCAGCATCTGTTTCCATTTTTTCCTCTTCAGCTCCTTCTATAAGTAAAAGAGGAAGAATAATATCAGAAATAGTGAAAACTATTGACACATGGTAAAAGCATCTGAGGCACAATTATACACAGCATAACCGAGAACCTCACAGTCACAGGATTGGCAAAAAGAAGTCAGACATTGGGGTCTGGGATGTAGCTCAGCGGCGTAGCACCTGCAAGGCAAATACAAGGCCCTGAGTTCGATTCCTGTACCCCCCCAAAAACAGATGTCAGATACAAAATGAATGCATACTTCATGCTAAAGTAAAAAATAGGTGAAAGTCATCAATGGTGTTACAAATCAGTACAGCGACTAAGATGGAAGGGAAGGCATTGTATACAGAAAGCAGGTTCAGTATGGGGCAGCTTGGAGTGCTGGTAATGGTTCTGGATCAGGTGGCTATTTACATGAACATTTTTAACTTGTGGAAATTGCACTAGGCTGTTCACTTAGGATGTTCACTTATCTGTGTCTATTGAAGTTTGCTGGACATGGTGACACATGCCTGTAATACTAGCACTTGAAAGGCCGAGGCAGGAGGATGGCCACAAGTTTGAGGACAGCCTGGACTACACAGTGAGACTCTTTCAAAAAAATAAAATACAAGCTAAAAAACTCTGAGGGCCAGGGATATAGCCCACTGGTGCTGTGACTGCCTGGCAAATGCAAGGTCCTGAGCTTGATCCTTGATACCAAAAGACAGGGGCGGAGGGTTTGGGGGAGGGGGCCTTAAGAAGAAAACAAATTCAATATTATTTAACAGCTATTTAATGAGTGCCTATTTTGAATCAGGTACTGGAGAAATACTGCTGAGCCTGACGAAATGCAAAAAGAGCACATTGTGCAGTGAGGCCACAAACCAAAGGCAGCAGAGAGCAGTGGCAGAGCAGACTTGACGCAGTGGTGAGCACACAGGGCCATGAGCATCCCACAGAAGGACACGCAGACTGCATGAATGCGCATGTTCAGGCAGATGGGAGGGTGTGCCGTACACAGAAGGGCTCCTGAGTACAGGGGTGCAGGGGAGACACAAGCCAACAGGTGAGCAAAAAGAGAAAGGGAGAGGGGCGTGTAAAGGCTGAATAAGATGTGAACACAGGAAGATGATACTAACATAAAGAATCCTATGCCCACCAGCTGAAAATTAATTGGAAGCTCACATGGAATATTTAAAAAATACTAATCACAGGGCCAGGAATATAGCCCAGCAGCACCACGCCTGCCTCACAAGTGCAAGGTCCTGAGTTCGATCCCCAGTACATAAAAAAAGAAACTGATCTTAAAAAAATAAAATAAAATAAAGAAACTGATCACAAATTAGGTCATAATCTCAGTCTTTTTTTTTTAATTTATTTTTTATTTTTTGGTACCGGAGATTGAACTTGGGACCTTGCGCTGGCAAGGGAGGTGCTGGAACCACTGAGCTAAATCCCCGGCCCCTATAATGTCAGTCTTAACAAACTAAAAAATAAAACTGCCATAAAGACCAAGTTCTTTTTTTTTTTGGTACTGGGGATTGAACTCAGGTCTTGTGTTTGCACAGCAGGCGGCAAAACCACTGAGCTAAATCTGTGGCCCCAAGATCAAGTTCTTTAACCCCACTGCAACAAAATATTTAAATGTAAACTTCTCTGATGTTTAAATGTTAACGTCTCTAAGCCTAGAAACATAATTGTGGGGAACAACAGTAAAATTAGCACTTAAAGTGAATTTGTAAAGCCACAGGCTCATATTAGAAAAGCAAAGATTAAAGTTATGAGCTACAGTAAGAAAAGAGGATAAAATAACAATATACAAGGTGGGGAGAACAAAACAAGATAGAAATCTAAGAAATAAAACAGAGCCATAGAAATAAATAAAAAAGAGCATCAGTATTATCTAAAAGGTGGCTCTTTTCAAACAACTAATAAAACTAACAAAAGAGAAGAGAGATGGTACATGTAAACAATGTGAGGAAAGAAAGAGGAGTACACGTGAGACTGTACATGGACATCTGAGGCAGAAAACAAGGGCTCAAAATGCCCACCCAAAAGATCGGATGATTAGATTACAACCGCACTGGGAGCTCCAGTGGCGCAATCGGTTAGCGCGCAGTACTTATACAGATTACAACCACACTACAAAACATTTCACAGGCCAGGCATTTAGCTCAGTTGCTGGGGATATAGCTCAGTAGTTCTGCTGCTGCTTTGCAAGCGCAAGGTCCAGAGTTTGATCCCCAGTACAAAAACAAAACAACATTTCACGGGAGTGAAAATAAACAGCTCCATGGATAAACCTTGAAAACACACTAGTGAGGGGCTGGGGATTTAGCTCAGTGGTTCCGCCGCCTGCCTCACAAGCACAAGGACCTGAGTTCGATCCCCAGTAACCATCCCCCTGCCAAAAAAACACACTAGTGAGCAGAAAAAATAAGCAAGCAAGACTCAAAAGTTTAAAATAAAAAAATTTAAATGTTTTATCAAGATTAAAAATGAGCAAAACTATACCTAACATATACTGTTTCAGTACACCTATGTTTGTAGTAAAAGCCGATTAAGAAAATATTTACAATGGTATTCAGCTGAGCATGACGGTTGCATGTCAGTAATCCCAGCACTCAGGAGGCTGAAGCAGGAGTATCACTGGGAGCTCAAAGCCAGTCTGAACTACATGAGGCCTTGTCTCAAAAAAAACAAAGCAAACAAAGAAAGAATGATATTCAAAATGTATGATTCTTCTGGGAGTAGATAAGGGAGGAAAGAAATTCAAACAACTGGCCATGTTCTCATTCTTAGTTCAGATGGACTAGACAGGCTACATAACCTGGTCTAGATACCAGTTCTTCCAGGGTGGAAAGTTAGATGGGAGGAGAACCAAATGTCTGCACAATACATGCCTTTCATGAAAGAGTGTTAAGAATAGATGATGATGCTCCTGAGAAGGAGCTGAAGCTTTAACGGCACTTTCCCTTTTTCATACCTCAGCGGTAGACTGCCAGCACCTGCTTTCTTTTTTTTTTCCTGGTACCAGGTATTGAACTCAGGACCTCACATATGCAAGGCAGGCACAGTGCCACTGAGCTAAATCCCCAGCCAAACAGAAGCAAACAGAGCACACACGCTACTTCTACTCTGCTGATGTCCACAGGTCTACAAGGTAGAAGCCCCTCAGAACCGCTCCACACTCCTCTCCAGAGCTGACCTTTCCTCATAGAGCTCTTGTGCTCATGCCAGAATATGCCTCCCACAATTTTCCTTATTTCATTCCTGCTTCAAAGGTCAACTGCTTTGCAGTCTTCCCTAACTTGCTCAGGTGAAATTATGATTGTTTCCTGTGTGTGCTTCTACTTATAGCTGTATTTATTTACTCATCTTTCCCCAAACTGAATATTCTTCATGGGTAGAGTCTGAACTTCAGAGATTCTAAAAGCATGGTTGGGGTTATTCATGTGGTCCCCCAAATAAAACCCAACCCATAACATGGTGTAATTTGTCTTTTTTGCTCTTTCTCTCTCAAGTGTGGACCCTGGCTTTTTAGAGGACATGCGATGTAAGAAGAAGCCACTGACCAGACACCTAAAGGAATGTGCTTTTGGGAATATTCTAACAAGTTTTCATTTCTAAAACAGTAAATGTCAACAGATGTAACTGACACAAACTGAAGCATCTTGGGCTCCTATGTTTTAAGAGTGTAAAGGAGACTTGAGACCAAAGGTTTGAAAATTGCTATTAAAATCAGTTCTGTCCTGTCAAGAAGCAGAATTAGGAGCGTGACACGAACTGCGGCACTGATCACCTGCGCCCAGCTAAGTGCGAGTGTGCCACTATGCCAGCGAGACACCACCCCTTGAGCTCCATCACCTGGCCCCCGCCCAGCCGTGTGGCCGCTCCTCCTCGGTACTGTGGCCAACTGGTGTAGTTCCTTACCTGTGAATAAATGTCCCTTTCTGCTTCCCTGCCTCTGTTCAGTGTCCTACAGAATGGAATACTTGCTTCCATCTGCTCAGCAACATTCTAAACTTCCTTTCCAATATGCAGCTTAAATCCCACTTGCTTTGTGCAAGCTTCCTCAGTCTAAAATTACATGTACCCTGGTGCTGTTATAGCGATTCCTACACATAGTGCTCCTTGACTGACTAATACACTTCATTATATCCCGCTAATGATTTTTTTTATGTGTGATTTGGCATAAAAAGCAGTCTCATATACTAGAGATTAACGTAAATGACACATGCATCATTCATAGCAACAAGTATACATCAAGTTAACAAAATACCTAACTTGGTAAAACAGCCCCCCAAAGGCAGACAATTATGTATTATATGCAGTGTAATTAAAAACATAGCAAAAAAATGGGGGGGGCCGTGAGACTGGTGAGTGAACCCAAGGACTTTGCATTGAGCTACATCCCAAGCTCATTTTAAATTTCCAGGCAAGGTTTTGCCAAGCTGCTAAGTTGTCCAGACCTGGCTGGAACTTGTGATCCTCCTGCCTCAGCCTCCCACTACAGACATGCACCACCATGCCCTGCTATGGCAAATGTTTAAATAAAACAGTATTATTACACAGTAAAATACACATTGCCATTAAATCTGCCCAACACTCCCTCCCTCATTTTGAACACAGATTTCCCATCGCTCTTGCCGTTTTCTGAAGCAGATCTACAGGTCCCTTTTCATGAGCGCCTTTAGGTGAGCTGCTGTGGCTGCCTCAGTGTCCTGAATTCATTCAAGCTGTTAATTTTCGTGGTCATTACAACTTATAAGTGAGCCACAAGTCACACAGTGCCAGATCTAGTGAATGAAGTGGATGAGGTCGCACTGTCATCCTCCTGCAGGCCTGCCTTTCCAGTGGATGGTGCTTGGCGGCAGCAGCTGTTGTGGTTTTGATCACACTTTGTAAAGACATTCAAGAAAGAGGGCTCTAGAATTGCTTCAGAAATTTGCAAGAACGATGGGGTAAGTGTGTTCAGAGGAAGATGGAGTTGTCTTTTTTTGGTACCGGAAATCAAACTCCGGACCT